GGTTTTAAATCATATTTTAATTGAAGTGAAATCATCTATTTCACAATAAGGCGAATTAGAAACTGCCTAAAAAACTCGAATACGGAATAATGAATAACGAGAAAAATTTAAAAATGAATAATGAATAACCTCGAAAAAAATGAAAGGAATAATGAATAAGTGAGATCCAATTATTCCGCTTCCACCCCCGACGCTGGAAGAGAGCATGATTTCATTCAATAGTGAACGATTTTTACCATTGTATACAAATTTACAAGTGACTTGTGACTTGTAAATTTGCACTTGTAATTTACAAGTCGAATTTTCTCAGAAATACAAGTTGGACAGTTGTAAAACGTTTATTGAAATGGATATCCAATTAAATTCTAGCTACAAGAGTAGTGCTAGCACTACACCTGTAATTACAAGTCGGACACTTGTAACCTGGACTTCTAACGATGTTTATCAGACTCGTTTTCGCCTGCACTTGTAAAAACAACCTTCCAACTTGTAAATTACAAGTGTAAACGTTTCATTGAATTGTCCCCTGGTTCAATGTAATTTTTTCTGTAGCTTGCTATGAATGGAACCAGAAGCCACAATCAACAGAATCTAAATGAGCTGCCTATACAAAGTCAACCAAATATAGCCATGAACCATCCAATTACCAGAAGTGATGAACATGCAACTTCTCCATATAATATCGATAAAATCTTCAACAGGTAATGAGAACTCTAGATGCCCATCATAAAAACATCAAATAGTTGGTTTCTCATCGGGTTTAATGTCTCTCTGATCTTGGCAACAGCACTGTTTGGTTTGGGTGTTTTAGAATAAGGGTGAGTATCACCATCCAGAGGGTCCTGAAGGATAGAGTGATCATGAACATGTTTTACATGAAATACTGTACTTGCCCAAAGTAAATCTATAAGGCAATAAATTTCCCCTTCTTCTTGATCTCTTCTTCCACAGTGCTTTGGGAATTTAATATGTAAGGTCTTAAAAAAAAAACGTTCAGCTAAGTACAGTGTCATGTAACAAAAAGACAACACATGTCAAAAAAACTTATATAAATATATCCTTCTTTTTTCCTATTTACCTGAAATCTAGTAGTAATTTTTGGTTGTTTTATGAACTATAGTCTTTAAACAGTCCTACTTCAACTTTATAGAAATTTTGCATAATGGTTTGTTGGGGTCTTGGTTTTTGTAATTACGAAAACTAAGAGGGGTCTTAGTTTTCGGAAAGACCCCCAAATTTATTGTTAAATTTCACCCAAAACTCAGTGGAAAGGATCGGACAGGAGATAACTTGACAGATTAGACCTGTTTTGGTTACATTTTGACTTTATATTTTGATGGACTCGATTTTAGGGGGTCTTAGTTTTCGTAATCTCGAAAACTTATAAGACGGGTCTTAGGTCTTGTATCTTAGTTTTCGAGGGTCTTAGTTTTCATAACACCCAATAAATATCCGCAAAATTCGCCCGCACTGAAATAACAATTTGGCGTGTTGGATAATTAATAACTTATTAGACCATTTTCGTATCATATCGCTGAGTACTGTTACTTGTTGCTTGTATTTTGACTCGCCCTACAGGCTTGTCAAAATGCATCACAACTCGTAAAAATACTCAATGATACTACACAACAAAACTTCTCTTAAAGTGGCTATGACACTTTCTTTTCTACTTTACATAAAACTATAATGACTCTTAAACATGTTTTCGCAACATTTGTGATATTTTTCCCTTTTCTGGAAATTTTATCAAGCTCTATAATCCGCAGATAAAATGTCTGGCCGAGCAAGAAGGCACTAGGCGCCGTGACGTCACGGTAGAAACCATGCGTTTTTATCGTACAAACGAGTGCTCCATGCTCCATAATTAATAATTTCTCTAAATTGCTAATGATTTTTAATGATTTTACAGATTGTAAACAATAGATTTCACAGGCCAGGTTTATCAGAGAAGCAAAGTGAGTTACTACCGTGACGTCACGGGTATTTGAGTACCAGTACTCTTTCACACGGCCATAGAGACGCATGATGAATTCCCCGTGGGTGGTGGTGATGGTATAAACAGTTCTCCCCGTGCTTAGACAGGTAAGAAGGATTCCTCTCATCCTTCCCGCCATTGGAGCCAGCCATAATTTTCTGGGCATTTTTTCTTTCATTTTAATTATTTCCTTTTTGTCTTGTTCAAAAAGTCTCCAGTAAGATCATTCCATTTATTCAGCCATTTTGTTTGACTGTTCAACAATCGATCGGAAAAGGACTGGGTAGGGGAATTGAAGTGCTAACTTGGGTGAAGAAGAAACGAGAAAACATATCCGCAGTAAAAACTACAACTTGTATTTTTATTTACTTTCTTCTTTCAATGCATATCAATTACAGCAAAAAATAGGTCTAGGAGAAAAGTTAAGACAAAATTGAAATCTAAAAAAGCCCAGTTCAAATTGTGTTACTCGAGTTTCTCTGTTAATGGGTACATGCACGAAATCAATTTGTTAAGTCCCTTTATAACCTTTGAAGTTCTCTCTGTAATCCGAACATTACTGAGTTTAAGCTGCTTCTCTAACTAGTAGCTTAAACCTTATCGCTCGTAAAAAAATTTATTCCCCGAAGATTTAATTCCGTCAAATAAAAAAGATACTAGTAAATAAATCTAGTACGGAAGGTACTTAAAAAAAATTCTATAATATCATTACGTATTTCCTTCCAAAAGAAGAACCATAAAATTTTTACCTAATCATACTCCAATGGGGAAAACTTTTTTTATAATACTTTAGGTGCCATATGATACCTTGTCAAAAAAATTACAAAAAATTTCAAATGTGTTTGGTGTTACAAAAATATCTTTCGAAAAAAGTACCCAATGTGTGCTTAGGCAATCATACGCATCACTTAAGAAAATAATTTACTTTCAATTTGCTTGGCTTCATTGACTAATCGCTGTCAAAAAGACAATTTAGGAAATTCTGCTTATTTCGACTGCTTAACAATTCGCTTTTTGAAAAATAAAGTTCTTGAAGTTTGTTCTCTGTCAAATTTGAACTCTGCGTTATAAACTGTTCTGTTCCATATTATATATTACAACCTCTTCAACGAGATGCCCCCGACAATGGCGGATTACCACCGGTTTATCTCGAAGATCTCTTTCACAAATAAAGTCATTCCATTAAGGAAGGGGGGTGATTGAAAAGAACAAGCTTTGCTCAGTTCCAGTACTTTCTGATACACAGGGTTTACTTGACTCCTAGCTCCTTGGGTGTAGTAGACTTTGGCCACTTTCCAAAATCAAAACTCACATTGTCGCCAATTAGCATGAACGAGGCCCACTTAGAAATGTCTTCAAAGCCGTTATTCCTCATCCACTTGGACCGGAGCATTA